AAACTGCATGGGGTGGTGTTGTTCTCCAACGAGACAATCAGTGTGGAAGCACTCTCCATGCACTGATGGGAGATTGCACCCACACACCAGCTGCAAACACTTGTCAGAGAAGCCCTGAGCTTCTGAAGCCCAGAGGAACTCCCACCAACAACCCAGTCAAGAGATGCATCATGATTTGGAAGGCACATGGCAGCCCTGCCTCGTGAAAATGTATTATTTTCTTTATTTACACTATGGAGAAAGAGAATGATGGATAAGGGAGTGAGTTAAGGAACAAAGTAGGTTCCTAATATTCTTACTAGCCAAAACCCCAGGCTCCTCAATCTCTGTCAGAGACACAGAGGAGCCAGCTGGTCAAGAACTTCTTTCCCAAAATGCTATGAATTTTAAGCTCTTGAGTTTTCTCATGTGTAGCTGCCACTGAGGGCTGTCAGGGGTGGGGAATAACCAGGTTACACAGGCAGGGCATGGGCTGCTGGTCAACCTGTGCAGCAGGAAAACAAAGAAAGAGAGAACAGCCACTGAAACCTGGCTGTTTCTCCACCATGAACGAGGCATGGCCAAGGACTGGCTGGGCATCTCTTCTGCCCATGAACCACATCCAGAGCTGCTCTCCTCCTGCCTGTGTAAACTGATTTCAGATGGTGCTCGTGTCTCACCTGCACGGGGCAAAAGGAATTTCACAACAGCCCTGCTGCAACCATGCCCCATCTAATGCCATTTATGCATTGTTAGTTCCCACAACTCCAAATGCCCCCGTGCCTGGAATGTGATATAAGTACACACAGCAGGGAAAAAAAAAAACATTTCTGCAGACTGCATTTGACTTGTATCAAAATCCCAACGAACACCACATTTATTGTACTTTATTTACATGGTAGTCACGTGTAATATAATACAATACAGCGTTCCATTTGCAGTGGTAGGCACTATGGGTTTTAAAATGTCACAGCTCTTCCTCTGCTCCATCCCACCCCCTCCTCCCCATGGATGTGAGCTCCCTGTTGTGCGCTGCTCCAGCTTCCCCCTGAACCTGCTCTGGGATGGCTCTTCCCCAAAACCAGGTGAGGGAAGCTGCTTTCATGGGCCAACGTGGAGACTCCAAAGCTTTGGTGGTCACAGAGCACTGGCAGACCTCAGGGGCAGTCATGTGCAGCCTCCTCACCATGCTTTGCACCAGAACACCAAGTGAAGGCAACGTGGGGCTGCAGCTGAGCTACAGAGCCCTAGCACAGGGAATAGGCCACCCATGGTGATCACAGAGCACCATTTGGTCCTGCTGTAGTAAGACTTTAGGAGAACAGCTGTGAGTCTCCACGAGGGATCATCATCCTCCTCCTCCTCCTCTGGTCAAGCAGGAAGTGTCACAGGTGAAGAGCAGGGGTCGTTTCTTCCTTTCAAGTTCACAGTTAGAGTTGTGAGGCACCAAAAGCACAGCACTGTTTGCTCTGAGGGGTAAATGCACTGCTGTTTGTGCGATGCCATACTGCAAGAGAAAACAGGTTTGGGGGCTCAGGTATCCGTGGCAGAGAACGATGCCTTTTGCTGTCCCACCCATGGGCAATTCACTTGGGAAGAACTAAGATATGTTAGGTCATATGCAACTCTCTTGATGCCCCAGAGGTTTCTGCTTCTGATCCAGGAGCTGTGCAAACATTGCAAATAAAATTTACACCACCTGCTTCACCTCAATACCGATTCGCTGTTGCCTGGGTTCATACCCTTCTGGTGTTTGCTCTCAGCAATTACTCAAATGAGTGCTTTAACCAGTAGAGATACTGAGAATTTCAAGCATCTGTGAGAGAATATTCCTGGGAAGGAGACTGTGAGTTGGAAGCTTTGGCTGTCCTGGAGCACGGTGTGTCCAGCAGTGCTCAGCCCACTGATACTGAGCAAGGATGCTCTTACTCAATTCCTAATCACAGACTTTTGAGCTAAATATTCTTACTGATGAGAAAATTCCAGCTTAGGGAACTCAGGGAGCAGAAATAACCCCTGTGAGTTTTAAGTCCATCCAGAACAAATCCCTGTGTATGGATTACAAGAAAGCTATTCCAACTTTTCCAGACCACAGATGATATGCAGAAATGACCTTCAAAATACACTGGAGGTCTTTTCTTGGTTTTCTCAGCAATTTACAAGGAAGAAATAAAGGGGAATATCCATGTATGAAGTTGCTATAAATTATTTGCCAAGTTGCAGCTGACAAGTTTCTTATTGCTTCTTGCCATATGCAGACACCAACTTTGTGCAGAACAAGTCCAGCGCCACAAACTGTTCAGGGTAGGACAAAGCTTTTCCTTCTTAGGGTTGGACACCCTGCTCTGCCACACTTAAATCTGAATAAATGGGGGAAAGATCACAAACTTATCCCATCCCAAAGACCCCATCCCTGGGGTCACTCCTTTCATCAAATAAAGAGAGATTGAAGCAAAGCTTTGACAAGCAAAACAACATAAACACTACAAACATCCTCAAGTCCTACTCTAAATGGATTGCTCTGTCCACAAGGCTTCTCCTGAATTCCCTGTTTCCTTTTGGGACTGAGAGATGCTCAGAGCCAAGCAGCCAAGGCAAGCCTGAAGCTGAAGGAAAAGCAGCCCATGTTCACAATCTGCCCCAGGAAACATCAGTATTGCTGCTGGGCAAGCACAGCCTCCCTCTGCTCCCCTGGATTCAGGGAACAGACAATGGCCAAAGATTTCACTTGGCATCACTAGTTAATAAAGAAGTACCTCATGTCTAAGAACTGCTGAAAGGCCATTTTTCAGCAAAGCAATTGTATTAAGACTCAGATTGGCTAGAAATGTCAATGGAATGATAGAGAACATCATTTGCAGCCTGGAGGTTGTAGATTTAGGGGATATAAGCAGAACAAACTGTAACATTTTGAACATATGTAAAACTGAGCGAGACCTGCTGGCATGCCAGGCAAATGCAAATGCCTCTCAGTAATATTTGCATGCCAGGATACCTCTCTGGATACCTTGTACTGACTTGGTAGAGCCAAGCTGTGCTTTGCCACTGGGAGAAGGAAGAACTGTGGCTGGAGAAAGGGAGCTGATGTTCAGTTTGGAAGAAAACACCCACAAACCATGGGTCTGGTGGAGGTAGGGCTGCCCAGGAGCACAGAAGGGTGGATAATCCTTTCAGAGACACTGAGTGGCTCAGTTACTTTCCTCCTTTCCTCCTTGAATCAGTCTCAACCATCAGATAAGCATGGCTGAACCTGGCTCACACCAAAGGTTCCCATCTTAAACTGCTGCCTATATTCCCACCAATTCTAAGTTGGCTGCCAACAAAACAGGTGAGGCAGAGCAGCAGGGCGGGATGCTGGGAGAGGTGAACCCAGATTGAGTAGGAAAAGCCAGAAGCCCTGTTGCAAACCAGAGCAGGTCAGTATTATTGCTTGTAATCAGGGGTGCTCTGCCCTGTGCACAGGAGGCTTGTGAGCTGTGCACATATTAATCAGATCTGGAGAGAGAACAACAACAAAGCTGCTGCTGTCTGCAAACACAGTTCACATGAAATTAGGGGGATAGATGAGCACAGCTGCATTTAAAGGCAGAGCAGGAGTAAGTCTGGGAACCCTTGTGAATAAAGAAACAAAGCTGTTATCACATCAGTCCAGTGAAGCATTTGCATGTGTCTTTTATACTGACAATTCCCCACATCACCTGCCAAGAATAAAGCAAGCATCACACCAAGAATGCCAAAGTCTAAAGAAAACACCAAGCCAAGCACACCCAGCTGTGACAAACTCTCATATGGCAGCAACAGCTGTGGCTGGCCTGGGGGCTAAAGCTTCACAGTGCTGGTAGCCTTCAGCTTGTTGTGGGTTGGCTGTGGAGTCAAACTGCTGCTTGTGAGATGGAGTTTCTGTGTCCCAAAACCCCATTTACTGAGAAAAAATGTCAGTCTGTCTGAGACACAAAGGTGAGCCTTAAGCACATTGCCTCCACTGCAATGTGATGAACATAAAACTTTGATGGGGATAGGAGGGGGTTCAAATCACATTCATTCCCTTAATTTGAATTTTTTTTTTTTTTTTTTTTTTTTTTTTTTTTTTTTTTTTTTTTTTTTCCCAAGGCAAAAGAAGTAAATGTATCTCAGCCATTTGGAAATACTCCAATCACTTTCCAAATGTCTGCAGACCATCAGTTCAATTTGGAAGCATTTTGAAGTGTAGCTAAGTCAGATAATGGAAGCTAATTCCTCTCTGCATCCTTCCCTTCTCACCTTCTGAGCAAGGTGAGAGCCAACCACGATGAAGAGCAGCAGCACTGAGGAGTTTAGTGCATCTCAGAGGGGAATGGCAGAGGGAGGTCCCCATTATTGAGCTGAACTGCCAAGAATGGAAGGTTTGTGATATTCAAGTGGTAATTCAAGTGATGGACTTTTCAGTCCCACTCTACATCCAAGATGTGCTGGGTAATTCAGAAAAATGGATGATTTCTATAGGTATTAAAAGAAGGTTCTGGAAATGCATCACCTTGTTAACAAGGATGCAAAGAAAACTATTCCAGTGTCATCTGCACCAATTTTAGATTGGGGTCCCCTTTTGATTCCACTGGGGCCATTCCAGAGCAGGATCTGAGCAAGGGAAAGGAAACCCCAGCCTGCAGTCATGCAAGGCAACTGGTCAATCCCAGAGAGACTGCAGAACCTCAAGTAGTTTGTTTTTCCAAACATCCCATTCCTTAGCAGACAGCCACGTGGGGAACACAGTGCTTGGAAACGCCAAAAGATGATTTCTGCTGAGACTGAGGCCTCAACAAACCCCTGAATTTCAATGCCCTTGAATATGAAGAAACAATTTCCACCACTGGATCTGGACCACACAGCTCAGAGCATGCCCCTGTTCCTGTTAATCGGTGATTTTCTAACTCCATCCTTGTTTTTTGAGTTTCCTGCATGGTTAAGGCAGTTGCAGGATGGAGGTGAAGTGCTGACAGCTGAAAGGCCCATAACACAGTTTGGGAAGAGGGAGGATGTCTGACACTCTTCCTTTGTTATTCTGTAACAAAAATTGGGTTGCAGGCAAAAATGGCTTGTGGTTCTGAAATCAGAAAAAAACCCCAAAATGCCTGCTGGTGTGGATGAAGGGTTTGGTCTGTGTATTTTCTTTCAACTAAAGATCTGTTCTTAAATCTGTACCAAAGCACTGACAGCAAAGCCCTTCACAATACAGGCATCAGACCTAACCCTGGGGAAAAAAAAAAAGAAAAGAGTGGGATGGGGGAAAAGATTTTCAAGAGTTCCATTATCAAAAGAAATAAAAAAACAATCATGCAGGAATTTCAAGTTACAGCTTAAAAATAACATAAGTAACCCCATTCAACTGCATCTCCCACACATACTAAGAGAAGAGATCAAATGAAAAAAGTAAAGAAAAACAAAAATGAAAATGTTATGTGCCCTGGAATCCTGTTTCTATAACTCCGGTCAAGGGAGACTTTTGACTGCAGCAACAAACTGCAGCTCGTGAACACTGGGAGTTTGTTTTACATCATATCAATCAGCATGCTATTCTCCTTCACCTTGGACTTTCAGAGGGGAAAATCATGAAATTGTGAAAGGGGTTATGAAATTTCAAGCAATCAGGCTTTTAGAAAGGTTCTATTGTGTGACATTTGTGTTGGAGTCTGAAAGTGTGTGTATAGTATAAAATTATGAGCTAACATTTGGAAAGACAGCAGTCTAAGTAATAAATCTGCAGAATGGAGAGAACTGTACAGAATGATTTCAAAGGCTCATTCTTGACAATTATATATATTTTATGAGACAGTTATGCACCCTGTGACTTTTTTGAATTCATTGTTTTATGGATGCAGTTTCTCTATTTTAGCAGATCAGATATACTAAACCAACATAATGGTCGAAAAAGCATCATTTACCACCCAACATAACAACGACACTGCATAGCTTAATATTTTTTTTCCTTAAACTCCTTCATCAATTGAGTGATTCTTAATATGGCTGAAACCCAAGAATTACATATCTGCAATTACAATATCTGTTGAGTATTTGGCACAATGGAGTTTATTGGATACATCCTTTTCTCCTGCCCTTATTGTTGCTGAACACGTAATTCTGTGCATAAACTGCAAGCACACGTATAAATTCAATCAAGTGGAAGCAGTTTGATACTCTACACCCATGTTGCAAAGCCTGGATAAGAGAAAAGTGTGCTAAAAATGTGCTGAACATGAGTGACAAGTTATCAACCCTCTGTAATTGTGCCAGCTCTGGGGTGCCCACTGCAGAAATGCACAAGGACTTGGGGAAGATCAGCCCTTCTGCCACCTGCATGGAAGTGACATCCAGCATTTGACTCAACATGCCAGCTTACTCCTCTAAACATCCTCAAGTTCACAACAGCTTCAAAATTCACACAAAAAAAGGAACTCTTAATTACGATGCTAACCCTTAAAGCCCTTCTGACATTTAGTCCATCAGACACAATTCTGGTACCTGGGAAAAAACCTCATCAAATGCCACCAATTTGCATTGCTTCCCAGCAGGAATGTTTTGGAAAACAAAAATGTGCATACAAAATAAGCCTGACCCCCACGTTTCTTGTAATCAGATGAAAGTTTCCCCACGGTTTTTGCATGTTTAGGTAAGACTGCACTGCAGGAGCCAAGCCAAATCTGCTCCTGCATGGATGCTTTGTGGGGAGCTGAATGGAAGCTGGAGCGGCTCAGTGCTGGCCAGCCTCTGCTCCCATAACCCAGCATTCCAGAGAGACTATTGTTTGTACTATTCCCATGTACAAACAAAATGTGGCATCCAGGAGAGATTATTCCATCTTCCTCACATGGCTCCCACTGAGAGTCAGTGGAATTTCTCAGGTGAAAAATAAAACACCAGTTGTGAGGGCTGAAGGATTAAGGTCAGTATTCCTCTCATCTTGTACACACACACACGCACGCACGCACGCACACACACACGCACATATTTTAAAGAAAACATCCACCACACAATTTCTAGATTGCAAATTATATATATATATCTTTAAAAACTGGAGAGAACATCAACAGCCTCTCCACATATATATGTATTCACTGAGTCACATAGAATATGAAAAAACTATATTATGTAAATCATCATATTATCTATAATTCTCCAACAGACAATTGTTTTTTTATAGAGACACAGTGCATTCATTCTCTTCTTTAAAAACATATTATGTGTCTTCATTGGCTTGGTAGCATATTAGAATGAAGGCGTATGGATAAAAAATGCAGAGGATTAAACAAACCCCTTGAGTCACATTACGTTTGGGTGAATTAAACAGGATCCTTCCCCAAACTAGCATAAATAAATCCTCCTCATGGAAAAGTGTCGGCGATTTAAGGGTTAACACATACTCGAAAATAATTCCAAAAAAACCCATCTTATTAGAGGACTACACAGATAAGTATTTGGAACTCATCCCCCTTTGAAAATGACAGCACGTTTGGCAAGTGTGAGCAAACGTCTTGAACTCTACTGGGTTTGAGATCTGAGCCTGGTTATTCACAGACAGCCACAGGAGCTGCAATCTGTGAATAAGCCAGGCCTGGAAGGACTTGGATACCCCTGACAGCATCGCTGGCCACTGGGAAGGTTTCCAGCAGCTTTCAAGGAATTCATCCTGGGCTCGTGGCTGGTGACAGAGTGTGACTGGTGGAAGGGCTCCAGCACCGCTCCCTCTTTGCCATCGTGGATGCAGCAGGTTGGAGCAGCACCCAGCCTGGCCAGCCCTGCAGGGCTCCACACACCCCATCCCAACTGGGAAAGGACCTATTGCTGTTATCACCTTGCTGTTATCACCCTGCTGTTATCAGCTTGCTTTCTCTACACCCCGTGCCAAACTCTCCGTGGAACCTCTGCAGGTGCCCTCCTTGGAAGCTCGTGCTGTCACCAAAGGGGCTGGTGCCCAGCCACAAGGGCTCCCTGCTTTCTCCTGCACCCTGCAGGGTGTCACAAGTGATCCCATCAAAAGACTCTGTTCTCAAGAATCCTGGCTGGGTCTGGCTTTGAGAAAAAGACAAAAGTTTCCTGTGTTGCCGTTGCTGTTTTGCAGTTGTTTCTTCTTCCATTCGTGCTCTCTCCTTGTTTTTATTAAAAAGGACCCTTGTATTATTAATATAGTTCACTCCTCCACAGTCACTATAAAACAGACTCCATATTTTCACACCACTCATGATCTTCAAGGTTATAGATAAATTTTGTCCTATGTGGTTGATTTTGGGGCACCGAGTCCCGCCCCAGATTGTCTAGGGTGAGAGTAGAGGCAAAAAACTCACTAGTGCTGAGACCACCTTCGTGGTTCTTGATGTATCTTTTATAGTTTTTCCTCAAGCACTGCCAGGTGGTTGTGTACAGGATGAATGCAAAGGACTTGAGGGCGATGGCAATGCTGACATACAGGTATCTGTAGACCACGTTGTCATACAGTGCACAGGCTCCTTGCTCCCCACAGAACGTGCTCCAGAACAGACATGTGGAGTCAATCCCGGCCCCGAAGATCAGAGGAGGTGGGATAAAACCTGCCAAAATAAGAGAGACAAATCATGCTTCTGTAAAGAGAGAGGACGTGACTGCAGTGAGTGGAAAGAGGGTACTTTATCAAGGTTAACAGTCCCAGCTGCAGCCTGTGATTTTAATTTTTGAAGCTCTAAATCAACCTGAATGAAGTTTGTGGATGAGCCTTTAGCTTGGACTTAACATCTGTGGAAGAGACGTTATATCCTGCTGATATCAACATGCAGCAAGAATCTTATTCAAGTCTGAGCGGCTTTTATTAAGCTTCTTGTTTGCCTAATGAGACTAAGTGGAGGGATAAATGAAAGAGGAGGACAGCCTTGCAGCTCACCATCTCTAAACTGGCAATTCTGCACTTTAGAGTGTTGCCCTGAAGGATCTCATAGCATTCCAGTTCAGCACCTAAAATCAGCCTCAGCATTGAGATCCTGTTTGGGACTGTACCCTGATATCAAAATATAGCAAAAGGTTTTCTCTGGATCAAAGGAAAAGAAACAATAGCCCATAATAGATGTCAAAGATGCCATCAGAAAAGAAGGGAAAATTTCAGAGTGCCATTAAATGAAATATCACAGCAGGATTCTCCCACAGCCACTGCAGCTAACTACCGATGAGTGTTTCTCAATCATAGTTTGCAGAAGAGCTGCAATCTTCAAGCAAAGTAATCACTCCAATCTCATTTAACTAATAAAAGAAATGTTTTTCTTGTCTCCTTTCCCTCATCCTGCAGGGTAACTGCAGCAACCCCCCATTTCCCATTAGCCTGATGGTGATTAGGACATCCACGCTCCAGCTCTGCGCTCCCCAGCCAGCCTGTGCAGCACTGGGAAGAAAATGTGAACATTCTACATAATGCAACCATTTCTCTACCTTCTGCTGTATTTATGGGCAGAGGCTGGAAGCAGATAAACCCTGAAAAAAGCCCTGATGGATGAAGACACTGCTGTGGGTTAAGGCAGTGAACAAAGGAGAGCATTGCATCTACTGAAATCCAACAGCAGGCAGGCACAACGCCCCCCTGACAGTATCACTGCATCCGTAGGTGCTCTGATGCCTGAGACTCTATAAATACCTGTGACAGCAGACACAAGGAGTGCAGTTTTTAGACAGGAAAGTGTTTAATCTTGGATCTAGTTTCATCATTAACCTGGATTTCCAGGCTTAAAAAAGCTACCTTCCTTCAGCTTGTCACGAGCAAAGTAGTGACATTCATGACATGTATCCTAAGACTACAAATAAATTGGTTGTCTTCACTGTTCTCTGTGGTAACTGAGATCTCTTTATTTTATTTTCTTGACGACTGGAGCTCTGCAGATTTTGTTTGATCTTCCTTATATGTTGGTAAATGCAGGAATTAAGAGAGGTTATATGGGCTTTTGGTTCTCATTTGAACCAGTCATTAATAGCACAAATGTAGTAAGTAAAACCAGATGATAAAAAGGCAAGACAATCTGTTTGTTAGAAATACTCGTTCCAGTCATCATATCTAAAAACCTATCTATGTTCTGGAAAAAATACCAGCACCAGCTCTGTGTTCATCATTTCAATGACTGGAAAATCCAGGCTGGGCTGGTTCTGCTTCTAAGTTCAAAGACACTTTTTTAGTTGAAACCTGTGAACAACCACACACTCAACCTGGATTTTAAAAATTCAGCTGGGCTCCTGCCACAAAGAAGCAAGAGGCTGTGCTGCTGACTGCAGTTTGTGTGCCCAGTGCTGCTGGATGGCACCTCAGGGGGAATATCCACATCTGGCAAGTGACTGAGGAGCCACATTCTTTCTGTAATAACAGAAAATAACATGTGCATCATAATTTTGAGGTGAGTCCCTGCTTGTTAACATGCTGAGAGATGCTGACACAAAGCTTTGGAGATGTGCAGGCTGAGCTTCAGGGACAGCTGCCATCCCCACCTGGCTCCAGCCTGGTGTCCACCACAATTTGGCCTGGAAAGTTCTCCTCATAAGACTTGAGGAAGGATCTGTTTCCCTTGAACTTCAAAGCTACTATGTGAATACAGTCATGTGGAAAACCCTTTAGCAACTAGTGAGTATTTCAGGTTGTTTTTAGCAGAGGAGAGGATGAGAGACACACAGGAGCAAGTTGGTGCTCAGAACACCTGAGACAAGGGGGCTGAGCAGTTGCACTGCACACCAGAAATTCCCTCTGAGAGTGAAACACTGTAGGGTTTTGTCATGTTAGAGTAAGAGGCAAACAACATAAGCTTGGAGGAAGAAAAAATCTAAGGAAGTGCCCTGGTAAGCAGAGGCTCTTCTAGGATGCATGGTGAACACCACCCAGAAAAAAATGCATCCAGGATCTTAAAGGTCTGAAATTCTTTGCCATTTCAGACAAATCCATTCCGAACCCTTGGCTCCAATGGCACTGCTTTACTCTCTTCTCTGGGAAACTGCAGTAATGTTTTTATATGAAGACACTGTTAGGCTGCCCTCTCACAGCAAAATTCCTATGAAATGAGACAATATATGCAGGAGGATACCGGGAGAATTCAGTCATGTTTCATGTTATTACAGTGAATATTAAAGAGAGTCAATCATGTCCTACCTCTTACTGCAAAGTGTTGCAAAAATTTCTGCTCTCTCTATATATTTATATATATTTCACAGCAGAAACTGTAGGGCTGCATAAAAAAAGGTGCTTCTGTCTTACTGAAATCTATTAGCTAGGATTGCACCTTCGGGTCTCATACCTCCTGCATTTAATTCTCTCCTTTGGTGTAAGAAGCAGCTATTATCACTGTCTTCTTAAGTCAAAGCTTAAAGGTGAACTGAAAAGCTTTTAAAATAAATCAGTAAAGCTATTCTCAAACCTCAGGTTGATAGAGGCACAATTTTGATACCCTTGCTCATGCAGAAAACTATCTTTCTCTTCATTTTCAGTGCGTTCCAGCTACATTGCTGATATGCTTCAGGATGTATTGTCTTATTTCATGGGAATCCCTTAGTGACAGAGCAACATATAAAGATTTGGATTTAAATTCTCACTATGGCTTCTTTACTGAAAAAAGAAAAAAAAGAAATCTGTTCAACTTAAGTATACATGTCTGAGGCTGGTTTTAGAGGAATTCAGGATGCTGCTATCTCAGGAGGCTTCTCTCTTCTGAAAGGAAAAAAGAAAAGATAAAAATCTCCCCCCTCTAAGTATTTTTCCTTTGGAAACAACAGCCCACAGCTGTCTTCCTTGCACACTTGTCTGCTGAGACTCCACATTCAGCCAGTCACAGCTGAAGTCAGGCCAAAGCCCACGAGCAGCACCAGCAGCTAAAGAAAATGCTGTGTTTGCAAGGCTTGAACCAGAGCTGACCTGGGTCATCCCAGAAACTTCCCTTTGAGTTATCTGAGCATGTTAACTTGAGGGAGCTTTTTGTATGGCTGCAATTACTTCACCAAAACCAATGGACATCTAATTGGCTTAATTGTAAACTGGTCTGGGAGCACAATTTCCTGTTCAGCTTATGGGGATTAAGGTGTTAAAAAAACAAGTAAAAAATGAAGCCACTTATTCAAAGCCATGTCTGGTACTGCTGGATTTTCAGTCCTGTACTTCCCAGTGTCTTGCTGTAGCCTAAAAAATGGCATTTTAGTCCCCAGCTCATTCCTTTGGGACCAAGGGAGCCATGCAGGGAGGTGCTTTCTGTGCCCTGCTAAAAAAGTAAGTTCCCTTCCCACAACATGCAGAAACCCTGGGCATGAGATGGTCCCACACAACGATGGATCAGAGGATTTTGCCCTGAACACTGAGACTAAAGAGCTGAAATAGAAGAGCTTTAAAATAGGAGCCACCTCTTCCAGAGGGGAAAAAAAACCCAGCCAGAAACAAGCAGCAGCCTGACATGTTCCCTTTAATTCATACATGAGGAGAACATACTGGTGCAGAGGAGGCGCCATAAGCATTTTTGTGGGATTTGAACCCACAGGAGAAAACAAGGACTCAGCTTGTCTCATTTTCCTGGTTTCATTTCTGAGACACCCAAAGGAAGGGGCAAACTCACCATGTAGCACAGGTCCTGTCCCTCAAAGGAGGGTGAGAATCCATATCCCTCTCCTTCAGCAATATGCAGTGCAGCAGTAATTCTGCAAGCTGCTGACATGTTATTAACAGCTACAGAAGAGAAACTGGTTGTGTGGGACCATGGGAGAAACAGCCATTTCTCACGCAACACTGCATTTTCTTCCATTAGCACCACACAAATGGCAGGAAAAGTGCTTCAGGAGCCTTGGTGTGACATCCCTCATGGAGAGGAACCCCAGTGTGCCAGACCCCTCTCATGGCAAGGGGAAAAAATGTTCTGGAACGAAATATCAGCACAACACAAATGGCAGGAAAAGTGCTTCAGGAGCCTTGATGTGACATCCCTCATGGAGAAGGCTTGGACACCTGTGTGCCAGACCCCTCTCACAACAAGGACAGCACTACAGAGTAGAAATCACAGACTAGAAATCAACTTCTGCAACAGAGTAGAAATCAACTTCTGCATGTTAAAAATGGAGTGTTCCAAGAGGGAAAAAAGGGTGGGAGAGAAGGACACAACTTTTGTACCTACCAAGCAACCGGAGCAGCAGGAAAAGCACCCCCAGAGCGTAAGACTTGAGTTCAGGGCTCACAGTCCTGCAGGGAGGAGGAGAGAGAGAAATCAATTCCTGTTGTTCTGCTTTGATTAACACACCCTGTGGCCATTCTGTGCTGTCAGCCAGGATGCCACCAGCACCTCTCCAAAAAGTCATTAATGGGGCTTTTCTTCTGCCTTCTCCTGAACTGCCTACAGCCCCAAAAGTAATTGCATTGGGGATAGGCTCAGGAATTAGCCAAGTCATTAATAACAACAGCTAATGTTGACAATGGATGTTTATAAGCTCCCCATCAAATTTTCAAGGCTGCAGATGTTGAGGACTGGAGGGAGAGAAAACTTTTGGTTCTGAAACTCCCCAGACTACTGGGAACAAGAGAGGGAGGGAGAAGGGGGGACCAAAAGGTTCAGTCAGCCTGGTGATTCAGTGAGGAAGTGCTCAACACCAGTTTTCATGCAGTTTGCAGTGCTTTCTGCTATGAACACAACCACTGTTGCATTAGGAGTTATCCTTCAAAGGTGCTTTAAAAAAACACTCATGGCAGGGGTGGTTCTCCATATAAATACACTGGAGAAACACCAGCCAAAACTGATAAAACAGAACCAGTTTTTGAGACAGCTTTTAAGTTAGGAGAAGATCCTTCTGATCATCTGCCCTCCTCTCACACATTCATGGGCCATGTAATATCACACCATGACCTTCTGTGTGAAGCCTGTGACCTAGGGATGAATTTCAGCAGTTTCCAGGCAGACCCCCACACTTTATATCGAAAGCCTTTATGCCAGGAATTATATGACCTTGGAAAAATGTTCCAATGGTTAATGGGTTGGCTCAAATAGGATTCTGCAGTTGGGTGAGAAATGTAGGAAACAGAGCATTAAAAGTTTATTTTAATGAAAAAATAGATTATCACATGGAATATTCACAGTGGGCTTTTAACTGGTGGTGGTGTCCTTCCATCCACTTTTCTATATTTAAGACCAAAGTCAATCCCCATACCTTAGGCTGGAGTAAAAATTGCCACTTGGAGACATCTCCTTTTCTCACCGACTACAGCAGTGACCAAATGACTTGCTAAGACAAGACATTTAATTTGTAGACACTGAGTCCATTTTTAAATAACCATGGGAGCTGCCAGTGTCACTTGTCACTGCTCTGGACACCAAGGACACATTCATAAGCCACAATTTTCTTTAAGTAATGGAAGATGGCAGTTGAAAGAGAGCATGAGGTGCTATCTGGCTCAGAGCTCTCTGCTGTACATTTGGTATATTTTGTCAGCTATCAGTGATTCTGAGTGAAGTTACAAATCTGGATGTGTGAATTGTTTATTTCCTACAGCTCTGAACTGAGTATGTTTCATCTTCCCTTTGCTTTTCTTATTCCCTGATATTCTTCTTCCTGGCTTATCTCATTTGAAGGCAACACTAAGATGTCTCCATGTTGTATCCTAAAGGTGCTGGCAGCTTCCTTGAACAAAGAACTCTTCAAACTCTAAATTGCTTTTGTCACAATATTTATCATGAGGAAATTTGATTTCCCTTTAGCTACTGGAGATGCAAAGAGAGAAATGAACTAGTAGGTGGAATATCTCATTTTGTATCCTGCAGGGAGACATGCCCTCACAGAGCTGTTCTGTCCAAAATCCACTCAAGAGTGTGTTTCTAATACAGACCTTATTGATTGAATTTTATTGGAATTTTCCAGGCAGCAGAATGGATCTGCTATTTATGCCTCTGGTTATTAGTCTCAGTAAGTGACAGCTTGGACAGCTAAGTAATTTTGGATAAATGTGGGCTTAGATATCTATGTATATCATAAGGTGCAGTGTTCTGTATGTCTGGAAATAACACAAGGTCAGTTATTTGAATAAGCTACTTTTGCCCACCTATTCACATTGGCTTAACTCAGACATGTCCTTCACACTTCCAAGTTCCTTATGTTCTTGGACTTGGTCCAGGGTGAGGGAAGTTAAACTCCAGTCAGGGAGGTACTCACCAAAGCTAGCTTTAAATTTTTCCGTGGTTTCTGTGGTCTCCAGATCATCTCTAAAGGTGAGCCTAAGCCACTCTCTAAGTCATTACATGCTGAGAACATGGGGTGGCAATTCTGCCCCTCTCCCAATGCAGCTGTAACTACTTACTAGCTGGATTGGAAACTGCACATCTGTATTTCTGTGTTAGTCCCAGAATAACAACCCTGCAGCCATTCTCTGCAACATCCCTGCAGGAATCTTATCCGTTTGGGGGCCCAGTTCCACCTCACTCTCTCCACCAAAGGAGAGCTCGAGCAGCTCCTGTTTTCTCTCCTGCAGCTCCATACGGCAGGCCCTGAACTGGGGCCATGCCCGGCTAAACCAGGCACTAACAAGTGAAAAAAAATAGCTTAGGGAGAAAACAGCTTGAATGGAGGTTCAGTTCAAAGTCATGGGTCTGGGGACAGTGAGCTTGGTGTAAAAGGCAGAGGCCAGGAGCTGTGTGGAACCCTCAGCTCCCCCCTGTGCCCTAGGGTCTGTACAGCCCTGATCCCACGCCAAGAGCAGCCCCATCTGATGAGGATGGTGACTGATGGTCCTACTTGGTGAGAATGATGACTGATGCCCACCTGATGAAGATGGTGACCAAAGCCCCACCTGATGAGAATGATGACTGATGGCCCACCTGATGAGGAAGGTGACCAAACCCTCACCTGATGAAGATGATGACTGAAGCCCCACCTGATGAGGAAGGTGACCGAAGCCCTACCTGATGAGGATGATGACTAAATCCCCACCTGATAATGATGATGACTGAAGCCCCACCTGATGAGGATGATGACCAAAGCCCTGATGAGGACGATGACTGACACCCTACCTGATGAGGATGATGACGGACGGTGTCTGCGCCATGGCCCCGATCATGCTGCAGACACACATCACACACAGGAATGTCAGGAAGGCCTCTTCACACCCAGGGCTGGGGCACTTGCCAGGAACCACGGTGGCGTTTTCGGGAGGGACCAAGGTGAGGCACGAGCAGCCACTGAGGTTCTGCAGAGAAGCACAAGGAGTCAGCAGAGGGGAGAGCTCTGATCCCACCTTTGTAACAGGGCTTGTCAGCAGCAATGCCTAATCCTCTAATGGTCAATTAAATAACTCCTAAGTGCTCGTTGGAGGGGGGTTTGGAAAGAGTTTCAGGAGCATCAGAGCTGACGCATGCTGCCAGCAAGGGAAAGCTGTCCCTTGGCTTGTTTCTTTTCTTCTGCTCCTTTCAAGTCTCTCCCGTAAATGTCACGGTGACAGAATTATTACCCAGTTCTACCTCTTTGGAGGAGAATAAAGAAACAATCTGTGTCTCTGTGACAAGGAAGATTCCCCCCATTATGGTTCTAATTACTTTCTTATTTACCTCCGTCCTCTTGGCTGCTGCAATTAAACTGAAGCGCATTAAATGCAGGTAAATCTGCAGCTCTGCTCTCAGCTGCAGGTTTGGGGACTGCTTCCAGCACCTCAAACCCTGGGCAGGAGCCACCCACGATGGGTGCTGCAGCTCACCCAGAGCTGAACCACCACAGCCTGGCAGCAGGGAGGCTGCTGGACCTCAGTGCGCTCCAGGGCTATTAAATGACATCTGGTTCAGAGGGATTTGTGTTGAGCTAAAAGCTCAAGTCAAGCAAGATAAACTTTATCAATATGTGATCAGAAGGAGGGTGGAATGACTGCATTTTGCTTTGATCTCTCCAGCAAGTGCAGGATGTGAAAAGAAGCTTTGTTTGCCAGTCACAGATTTAAGGATTTTTTTTTTCCCCTTATTTTCCGACTCGCCCTCCTGAATTTCTGAGTGGGGGATGTCAGTGCAATTAAGGCACACAATACTACCAAGAAATCCCTTAACGAACACAGAAAGAAGCAGTCATTAATGATTCATGGCTTGTCTTCACAGGCCCGCTGGGTTTGCAGGTCACATGTCTGGATGAGGAGCAACGTCATAAAATATAACATACTGAAAAGCAGCTCAATCTCCTCCCCTTCTCCCCTACCATGTGCAAGCAGAAATTCCTTTGCTTTCCTGCCAAAGGGGTCCCCTTAGGACCATACAAAAGCACACTTTGTGGTTCACTGCCTCCAAAGATAAGGATCAGCAGGGATACCACTCCAACCTTTCTGACACCAATCTCTTTCTCCTGCACAGGAGTCAAATCATTTTTTTTCCAATTAAGTGCACAGAGGACAAGAGAGACTGTGGTGCAGAACCCTAGGAGAGCTGGAGCAGACATGCAGGTGCCTTTCTGCTGGCAAGCAGTAATTAAAATAACAAATTCCTGTGCTGTGAGTTAGAAGCTGACACCTGAAGGCTCCAGAACGGTGACAATTAGCACCACTGAGGTGGTGTTTGCACAGACAACAGGAATTTGTAGCTCCTGGCTCTTACTGCAGCACATTGCTAGCCACCAGCCTGGGCAAGGCTGTGGATCAAAACCCATGTAAGTCTGGAAAAGTACATACTTGCACTGAATAACTCTTGTACAAAATTCCCATCACAGCAAACGTGCAGAATTGGGTGTTTATTTCCCATGGGCTTTTATCAAGGGACAGAAAGTACCTGCTTTGGGCAGTGGTGGGGTAGACTGCCCTCCCACTGGTGTGATTTTTTTACAAAGCACAAGGCAGATTCTACTTTCACTGCCTGAAAATTTGCCCCTCAATCTGCTTTTTTGACCACTTTGCTTCAAGGTGCTGGCCCGAAGCAGTGTGAGTGGTTTGTAGCAACCACCTCAGCTTGCTTAGCACTGCACCTCATCCTTACCTGGCAGATCTTTGATCTTTTATTACTGACACAGTAGGCAACTCACAGACATCAAACAAGGAAACATCAAAGATGGAGTTATGACTTTGTCCTGTGGAGAGGAAATTTTTTGCTACCAGTGCCAAACTTCTGTAGATCTCCTCGTCTGCAACCCCACTGCATCCAACCACTTGTTATCAGAACCTTCTGCTGCCCAGCAAACTGCACACCCAGATTTATGTGTGCCTGTGAAGCTTCACAGATGCAGAGTTTACACCTTTAACAGCATCCTGACTTTGCTGTGATTATCCATGCAAATCACCCATGTTTTTAATTACTCATTTTTTAAGCTCTGGCTTTGACAGGGAAGGGACAGGCTGGTATTTCAATGTGAGGTGCCAGCACAGTAACTCCAGGCTGGAATTCATGTGTCTCCAGCCAAAATGCTGAGAGTCAGTGGCATCAAACAAACAAGATGCACAGCCCAGCACGTGGTATGCAAGGGTCACTCCCAGGAATGGCTGGAAAGAAAAGTCCTTGGGGTGCCAGAGCTCTGCCTACCAGCACTGATATTCCTATGGCTTTTTGGGCAAGTTGCACCTCTGGAATCAGCTCAGTAAGAGAGAAGGAGTGAAAAAGAAAGAAATACCTGAGCTACACATTGCTTTTAGAAATTGTTCACAGAGGAAAAGTGAAGAGAAGCAGTCAGAAAGGTAAAATGTAGTAAAGTTAAATAAAGCATTCAGAGAATTTTATGTCCCAGTAAAAAGCAACCCTTGCCTCATCACAAGCACATAACATTCACAAGACCCTCCAGACAGGTCATTACCTGGATTATGGGTTTAAAACTTGGTTTGGCAATTTGGCTTTGCCTCAAGGCCATTGCATGGCCAAACTGGTCCATAATTCTTGATAATGCCCTTCCCAGCAGGTGCTATTGCTTCACCAATTTGTGTTCAAAATGTTACTGCAAAAAACCCCCACAAAACAAAGAGATGAGAAGAACCCCAAGGATGACAACAAAAAGGCAAAATGAGAAGGAGAGAGTAAGAGAGAGCTTGAGGGAGAGTGAGTTTTTTGCTGAGAGGTTTGTTCCTGCAGAGCACAAGGTCGGGCAGCTGCAGACTGAAGGGGCAGAGCTGAATTTTCATTACCATGCTCCTTCCAGAGGAGCCAGAGCTTTGCCCTGCACTGCACAGATCTCTGCCATGCTCCAGCCACACACCACCACCAGCTGAACACCTGCTGAAGGCTTGGTGAGCTGGTGAGACACCATTCTGTGTGCCTGAAACAAGATGGTTTCCTCTTAAATCATCCTGCTGCCATCTCAGGTGTTGGCTTATTGGGAGGAGGAGGAGGAGGAAGAAGAGGGCAGGAAGGCAACACCTTCACGTTGATGTGGATCCTTGTGGGGCTGCTGAAAGCTCCAAACTGTGGGGTGTCAAAGGGATGCCTGGTATCTCCTCAGAGAGAAAGGATGAAGCCTTGGGGGGATAATTGCACGTGGTGAGCACTGATGTGTAGGCACAAACAGTGCCTGTGACCAGGCTGACCTCCCACAGACTCCACACAGCCCCAGGCAGTGAGCAAGGATGCAGGAATCCCACCAGTCCCCACCCACACATGAGGAGCACTCATTTTCAGTGTAACCCAGAAGACATTAACATTTCAGCAGCAAAAAATGAAAAAGCTGGCTTTAAGATATTGTTAAAAATTCCCCACATCTCCTTTATACCGAGATAGTTTGGTCTTTACGAATTTTCTAAGGGAAAAAAACTCTTAGAGAGAACTGAAAAATGCAGAATGTCTTTGGATGGAAACTCTGCTCCCCTGACAACTGCTCTTGCTGCTGCCTCAGAGCAAAGCAAGGAAAGAGAAATAAGCAAGCAGAGTTAAAGAAAAGCTTAAACAAGGGTGAATAAAAACAGCAACTGCTCACCACTGTCTAGGAACCACATTGAGGGAAAGAGCAAGAGGAAAAAGACTGAAAGGGTTGGGCAGGGTGGAGAAGAGGGGAGATGAGGAGTAACAGGACAAAAGAGGAGCAGTTTCCTCAGCTCTCCCTTCTGGGATAGGGATCTCCTGCAGAGGACACCTGTGCAGATCTCCCATCACATTCCTTGCTTCCCTGCTGAGGAGGAAAACCAGGGCAGGAGGTTGTGAGATCCCATCCCGCTCCATGGGTGACCCTGCAGAGACTGGGCATTTATGGAACAGAGTGAAGAACAACAGGGGCTCAGCCCCACCAGAGCTGTGAGCTCAGCTTTTGGGGGTGCAGACACTGGCTGTGGGTGAGCTACCCCACCAGACATGCAGGAACCTCACTCACTTGAGGTCCCAGAACTGTTCCTACAGATGAGGGGTCCCCAGGAAAGGCCACTCACCGTGCTGCTGCAGCCAGCAAAGCAGGCAGATAAGTACGTGACCCCGTCTGCCCCACACACTGGAGTGAAGGAATCAGTTTGGCATTCACAGTTGTTATTGCACGGGGAATATGGGTCCAGAGATGAGGTTGGAGTTGAGCTGTAAGACAAAGAGAGAAAGAAATTAGTGGACAGTGTGGTATCAGCCAGCTTTCCCTACTGTTGCCTCACAAAGATGCCTTTGAGGGGGAGAGTTAAGGAAAACACATTAAAAAAAAGCAGTGGGCAGGCTAGCTGGGTTCCAGCTCTAAGAAATCCTGGCTCAGCCTCTCCTTGGAGACTGAAATGCCATGGCCACTATCTCCCCTGCAAGAGAGAATCTAATGCAAGGCTTGGGCTGGCCTGTTACCTCAACAAGAAGCCTCAAGGAAACACAGAGAGATGCTGTGGAGATTGCTCTGTGCTTTTCTGCAAGGAGCTGACAGGCTGATGTTGTCATCTAAAGAGCTGCCACTGCATACAGGAGCACTCAGGAAGAAAATACCACATAACTCTCTCCAAGGCCTGTGAGTGCAGGACAAAACAGGGTTATGTGGGCCTCACTTCTCACATTAAAATGGGCCTGCAGCCAAAAACACTCTCTCTTCACCATATCTGTATTTCCAGGCATCTAAAACCTGGTTCAACAAATTCCCCTCAGGCACTGAAATCAATGTACAGAGCAGTGCATGTCCCTTAGTGCCAGGACAAACCAGACCCAATGCTACAGAGGTGCCTGTGGGTACAGACTCAGGTCTGGCACCTTTTGACTCAAATTGACTGAATTTCAGATTTTAGTGAAATTCTGTTGTAATCTGCAGGTGCTCAGGTCTCTCAGTGGTGAGTGGCATGGAAACATGCCAGACTAAGAGCCCACACCACACTGCCTTCTCTGTGCTTGCTCTGTGGCTGTCTGAAGACCAGCACTCCTTTCAAGGACACTAACATGGATTTATGCTGGCAAAGCTCCCTGAAACTCTCCGTGGACTCACTTGTTTCCATAGGGAACAGTAACCCCTGCCACAGGTCCTGTGTCACAGCCCAGGAACAGGAAGGACACGTAGCAAGCTGTGGACACCAGGTTCACCAGCATGGCCATCCTGATGGCTCCCAGAGCAGACAGGCTGAGCTTCTTCACCAGGAGGCCACCCAGGAATATGCCCAGGCATGCACACGGGATTGCTGTCATCCCTGCAAGAGGAAAAAGCAGTTAGCAAGGCCAAGAACTCTCCAGCAGCCAGAGCTGTGCACTGGCATGAGGAAACCTTGCAATGCCCAACTGCTGGAGCGGCACCAAGCTGGGGCTGCCCAAAAAAAGGAACAGATGCAAACAGGCATGCTGCCTTGCATGGAGGAACCAGGACCTTCTGCCAGCTCTCATCCAGGCTGGAGGCAATGCCAGGCTTGCTGAGCTTGGCCCAGCCTGACCTAAGCAGCAGCAAATAAAGTCAGGAATTTTCTGAGGTGTCTGGAGGCTTTGGATGAGCCCTGCTGGTGCGACTCACAGGAGTGTGATCTTCAGAGACTAGGCAGGAGCAGCATTTGAAAATATGAAATCTCCCTAAAAGAATTTTCTTTAACTGCGAAATGCAAAATCACTGCCAGAAGTGACTCCCTTTCCAGCACAGACAGAAATTACCACACTATGCTTGTTTGGGATTGCTTTTATCCCTTTGCTGCCAGTTACACTGCAGATCTCACTGCCTGAACTGTGCTTAGGAGAGAATCCCAGTCCTGGCATTCCTACACTCCCTTAAACACCATGTGAGAAATCTGATTACAACTTTGTTTAAACAAGTTGCTGTGAGAAACATGGAGGTATCTGAGTCTCCTTTCCCGCTGTCAGGTCAGGAGCAGGATGTGCTCTGGCTCATGGGTGATCTCCTCTTTGCTTTTTCCCTTCTCCCACTGGGTCAAGAGTGAAGTTACTTTCCTTTGCCAAGCCTTTAATTTTCAGGAAAGATGGAATTACCTAACAATTTTGAGACCTCTGGCCTTCTGTCAAATCATATTAAAATTCACTAGCAAATTCCTGGGTTGCGGGGGGAGGCAAGGCTGACTGCAGGGGATTGTTTCTTTTGGAAATCCAGGCCAAAACCAGAAGACATCAATGAGTTTAATAGGGAAATAAACAACTGTCAGGAGAGCAGCTTGCAAACTCCTTGTTATGATATGAAGATCCACCCATTTCCTGATGTCCCGTTTTTGACAGATCACTGCCAGCTGCCCATCTGGCAAGCTGTGGCCGCAGATCATCCAAGATCAACTTGCAGATGTCTTAATTGGGTGCTGCTGAGAGGAGGGCTGTCATAAACAAATGGCTGGGCCTGCCTGGGATGAGCAGCAGCAGACAATAAATGAATATTCTGCCACCAGTGTCCTGACAGGGAACAAATGAACACCGAGGAATGTAGAACGTGAAATCACAGCAGCATGGAATGGTCAGAGAGAAGGGACATTTGAAAGACGACCAAGCTGCACTAACTCAGGTACTTGAAGTGCTCATTGCAATCTTGTCATTCCCAGGCCAAGGGGAAAGCTGTAGTGACCAACAGGAGACACTGGGCTTCCTAACCAGACTGAGATGGGCTGCAGAACTGCGGGGCACCAGAACCATGAGACACGCAGGTCAATGGCCACACCATCACTGCAGTCCTGGGCAACCAGACAGCCCATTTCTGCTGCTTCCAAGGCTTTCACAGACTCTCCCATCCTGGCTGTCCCATACTGCCTCCCAGGGGAAGTGATGGCAGCAGGATGCAGTGGAGAAAGGATGCTGGAGCTCTGTTCTGGACCAGGCAGCCATGGCACAGCTGAAGGCCATCCGTCCCACTCACAGATACATTCCCACATCTCAAACAAGTCACTCTTTGGGCAGCAGCAGTTACCAGCCATGCTGAGCACTCCTAAATCCCTTTGGAGGTTTGGTGTGCCCGTGGTTACTCACCCAGGAGCTGGTTGGCAGAGGAGGTGGTGAGGTTGAACTGCTGCTCCAGGTACTTGCCCAGGAAGGCGGCGAAGCCGGCGACCACGGCGATCTCCATGCAGGCTGCCAGGATGATGCAGGTGAACACGGGGTTGGACAGCAGGTGCTTGGTCACTTTGGGGATCACTGCAGGAGAGGAAAAAGGGAGAGGGATGTGGAGTTTTCGTCACCAGTTGTGGTGACACACAGGGGTCCCAGGACGGGGAAAGAGAAGAGAGACGAGAATGTTGACGCTATGTTTCAGAAGACTGATTTATTATTTTATGATATATATATTATATTAAAACTATACTAAAAGAATAGAAGAAAGGATTTAATCAGAAAGCTTGCAAGGAATAGAAGGGAAAATGGAATGATAACAAAATCTGGTGACTCTCAGAGAGTTCGAGACATCTGGACTGTGATTTGCCATTAATTAGAAACAACCAACATGGACCAATCAAAGATCCACCTGTTGCATTCCACAGCGGCAGATAATTATTGTTTTTCTCTGAGGCTTCTCAGCAGAAAAAATCCTAGCAAAAGGATTTTTCATAAAATATGTCCGTGACAGAGGTGTTTTTGTGCAGACTTGAGGTGCTGGAGGTGCCTCTCTCCTCTTCTGTAGGGTACACTCATTTCACATCAGGAGTAATTTCCTGTTCTGCACAGACAAGCTGCTTGAAATGTGGGAACACCAGAACAAAGTGAAACACCCAAACAGTGCCACTTAAAGATTCAAGAACCAAGAGGTGCAAAAAGAAATAATCAGTGATTATTTACTCTTATAGAAAACTGGAAGAATGAGAAAAATTTCCAACATTGCTTTCTGTTTTCCCCATAGGGAAGTCAATCAAAACCTGGTGTGCTCTTTCTTCCCCTTCTCCTTTCTGTACCTGTTCCCCAGGAACAAAGCTAAGCCAGCTGACAGGTGCCATCAGTGCTGTATTCAGCATAAATCCTTGCAGGCTTTCAGACACAAACTAAACCAGCTCACATCTGGCCTTTCCTTCTCCTGCCAATCCAGATTTGATTCATTTTCCTATTCCAAACTGGCTCACTCACTGATGGTCACCTTCTTGCAGCACACGTGGGTGTTTTCAGCAAGCTGAATCTTTCAGGCTCAGCCTGGCCCGTGGATATCCATGGCACAAGGGTTCTCCTGCCTGGGACAGGCTTGTCAGGCTGTGTGTTCCCACAACCTAAAGCTTCTCCAGCCTTCCATGCAGACCCTGCCATCCTTGAGAGGGTGCAAGAGGACGTGCTGAGCTGTTCACTGTGTGGGACACACACATGTAGCTCTGGTTTCATGATCCCTTGGCTCTCCCCTCCCAAATCATCACTGTCTAGAATCCCCTCTCCTCCAAGGCCATCTCAATTTCCAATAGGCAAACAAGAGTTACCCTACAAAGGGAAATCTGTCTAATGAATCAGATTGCACGTTTTCTACTCCAGCGAGCATTTTAATTATTGTAGAGATAACACAGCTTGAAGAGGAGAGCATCCCAGTACAGAAGAGAGCCTTGCTTTGTCTCCACACCTGATGACTAATTTCTGCCTGAATTAAATGTGAAAATCATTAAGTTTGAAAATTACCTTGAAGTAGTGTAGTGAAGCCTCAATGGACCCCCATTTGCATTTTGAAAATCCAACCCCCAGATCCCCTGTGGTGTACCAGGGGCTGGCAGATGATGTTTCTCGGGTGCTGGCTTATGTTTTCCCTATGGGATTTTTTTGCACTGGCCTCAGCAGAGAATGCACAGCTCTTTGTCAAGGCTCTGCTTGGGTGCCCTTGGCTCTTTCTTGGGGACAGTGGGAAAAAGGGTTATAATTAGGTTTGATCTAACCTTTTTTGGAAGAGGTCACTTCACAGTTTCTGGTCTCTTTAAATCAGAAACATTTTTCCAAGCCGTATAAAATTTCTACTTCCTAAAGACTTACTGAACATAATTAAGGTGGAAGAGGCATAGCAATTTTTAGCAGAATGAGTGAAAAAAGAAAAGAAAAAAGGGGGAAAAATGCTGTGTGGGAGGAATGGGGATGGGGGAATTCAGATATGGATAAATTTCAGAAGCCACCTGCTGCTTCCTTTAGTTCTTTGGTGGCCACCTACAGAATTTCTCCTTCTTGCCAGGAAAAATATAGAAAATGAAAAGGTGGACTTGGCAGTACTAAGCTTGAAAAGCCATATTTAAGTTATTAATGACTGTTGTGCCTCGGGAGTTCAGTTTGTTCAGGATTAATGGATTCCTTGAGATGTAGCTTTGTGCCAATTTAAATCCAAAGACACTAAGGTCTAGCTCTAACTTTATCCACCAGACAATAGTGATGACAGCCTGCCTTTTGCAGGAGGAAGCTAAAGATCACGGACATTTATTTCTGAAGTTGGCACCCAACCATCGTGCGCTACCAAGGTCAAAATCCATTTTCTGGACAACAGAAAAATTTGCACAGTTATTGCAGCATCTCACACAGGAGAGGAACCCCTCACAAGTGCCTTGTCTGGCAGTGCAGGGCTCCAAGTCACAGCACTTCATCCCCTAAAGGAGTGACAGGAGAGCTGGAGAGGGACTTTTGACAAGGGTGTGTAGTGACAGGACAATAGGTAATGGCCTTAAACTGAAAGAGGGAGGGATTACATTAGAAATAAGGAAGAAATTCTTTACTGTGAGGATGTGAGACACAGGAACAGGTTGCCCAGAGAAGCTGTAGATGCCACTGGAAGTGTTCAAGGCCAGGCAGGATGAAGCTGTGAGCAAGCTGGTATAGTGGAAGATGTCCCTGTCCATGGCGAGGTGTCAAACAAGATGATCTCTAAAGTCCTTTCCCACCCAATCTTTCTGTGATTCCTTGATTCCATGATCATTGCTTCTCCTTCCTGTGAGTTTTCTAGGACAGATCCTGTCCTCTGCTGAATGTCTGACTGTCTGCTACAACTCTGTACCATCCATCATGTGTGACACAAAACCCAGTGCAAAGAGTGCAAAGACAACTCAAGCAGAGTCTGGCAGCCTCCACTATCTCCTCAGCCAGGGCCAACTCATTCTCTTTCATCTTCTAAGGGAAATAAAGCGAGGTTTCCCTATAGAATTCAATATCCTTTCATCTTGCTACTGCCATTTGCTAAGATCAATCATTTGACACCGGCTGCTGCGTCATCTGTCTCAGTTCTTGGGGTGAAATACCTCTGGGAAAATGGTAAAAAGTCAGCAGCAAAGTTTAAAAATCTCTCAGTGGACTAGAGTGACATGTTTCCAGCTGCTTGGCATATGGTGCTGGGTATGGAGTAGGAATGGAAATGCCTGATGGGGGACAGAACCCAGCAGGGTGTCATGGCAAATGTCACCTTGCAATTTTACAGGCCCAAAGGTCACCTGAACACTTTGGAGCAGCCCTTTGCAGCTACAAAGTTCAAATGAGGTTCTCTTACAAAGTGGGAAAAGTCTTTTGGAGTCCAAAGAGTCTCAAAACTCTACTTGGAGAAAACTCACAAGGTGCAGCAGACAGGGCACACAGATAGACTGAGCCTCCCACTGCCAGAAGGACGAGCTCATTTCCATCCTCATCCTGATAGACCCGACACGCTCCAGGATTCCCAGAAAAGTGATTCCCACTGCCCTGGCAAGATGCACTGAGGAGAACACAACACCTCTTTTCACTGCTGAAAAGTAGTGAAAAGCACTTTAATCCCAACTCTTGAGACCATCTACATGCAGTGCTGGTGACAGGATCATCCATAGACTGGGAGGGATCTGTGTGGATGTCCCAGAGCTCTCCAATATCCCTCATAAATCCCTTGATTTCCCACCTTTTCCCACTCAAGCAACACCGGTTCCAAAGCATCCAAACCCCCTCCCTGTCTCCCTCCGTGGATGCTCTGTGGATGACAGGCCAGGGCCTTGACAAATGCACACACTTATGTACACCAAGTAGCTTTGATTTGTCACTGCACATCGGGGAGTAGCGGGGATAATTGGCAACCTCATTACACGAGGTTTAACTACTCTCCAGAAACGACAAACTATAATCATCACGTTGGTGCTTGAAATGAATTGTTTGGAACATTACAATCACCAAGGCCCCTGTTTCTGGTTGGAGCACCCTACAGAGACATGTTTTCAATTTGCAGTAAAGATGAAGAACACAGAAAGCAAAGTAATAAATTCGAGGGAGGTTTACAGCCCAGTCCACCTAGGACAGAGTGGTGAGGGAAAGGCAAAATGTAGTACTGAGCCAAAATATGACTTTCTACTACCCAAGCCTCAGGTCTCAAGAGAAAGCAAAAGGCAAAACCTCCACCTGGCTTGAGGAAAAAGGGATGAAGAAAACAGCACAGGCAGCAAGAATAAAACACATTCTGGAAAGAGGTGGCTTCTGTAAAAGAGAATATGGAGTAAGGCAAGAGGTGCTGAAGATATCTCAGGTGAGATTAGCATGCTGAAGTTCCATGTGGCCTTGGCAATATTATCATAATGGATAGGAGTGAAAAGCATGACACATGAATCAAGAAAGCCTTTCAGACAAAATGCAAGCTTGAAGCAGCAGTTACATACTCAAGCATGGAAAGCAGGTCCTTCTAGTCCATCATCTTCCCTGCAGGAACCACCTTTACTTTACCTGAGAGGAGGACACAAACCTCCCTCACCTGTGACACAGAAGTCATGGAAAAGCATTTTTTTGGAGACAGGCTCTGCCTGTCTTCAGCTGCTGCTCAGCTTTGGCCCTGAGGTGTGCAGGCTGAAGGCCTTTCTGAAGTTTTTAATGGTGCTGACAACAAGATGCTGGCTTGGAAATAGCCGAGAAAAACCTGACAACAAAATCTACACCCTCATGAAACACAAGCCAAAGAAAACTCAAAGACTGACAGAACCTGATGCCTTTTATGATCACCACCTTCTCACCTAAGACTTGGACTTCTCAGCAAGCCTTTAAAGTGTTTGCAGGAGGACAAGACCCAAATCCAAAAAGGCATTAAAGTCTAAACCTGGGCCAAAGCTTCACTGCTGCAGCTGTGAATGAAGGTATAGATGGAGCCCTCTCCAAAAGCTTGTCACTATCAGTCAGGAGAAGTGAGGAGTTAAAAACTACTCTTGTTAGCCTTTAATCCTGCCCAATCCCTTGAACTCCCACTGAGGATTACAGGCTCCCCATGGTCCAGGTCCTCCCTGCACAGCTGGGAGCTTCAGGCTCAGCACTATGCTCCCAGTGAGCACTTTTTGGGAGAGAAATCCCAGATTCAGAGCAGCTCCCTCCCTAGGTAATTCAGCAGATTGGTACACGGAGCAGGACAGAACTGAACAGAAGACAAGGCAGCTGTCAGCTGTACGTCCCAGCTCTCCTACACGCTTGAAAATGAAGCTGGAAAGAAACCAAAACGTTTCCAAATATAGGGAATTTGCAGTTCTGAAATTCATTTAATTCCACAGTGAGTTTTCTTTTAATTCCTCGTGAATGAGCTTCCCTTTCCAAACCTGGAGGATTCCATATCAATTTCAATCCTTTTAGGGTTTTAATCTCTCCTGCTAGACAGAGCGGCAGAACGTAACGAATTTCTGGTTTAAATCACTGCAAAACAGAATGCATTTAGGGCAGAGTGTTTCAGAGGTGTTAAAGATCATGCAGGGGAAGCATTCTGAAATCAAATTTCATCAGAACCGGACGCTCAATTCGACAGATGTGACATTTCTGAGTGAAAAAAAAAGGGAAGGTTTTTAATGAACTATTTCCAAGCACATCCCAGAGCAGGTGGTGCGTCAGAGGCAGCGAGTGAGAGGGCAGATGTGTGGACAGACTCGAGCACAGGGCACTGACAGAGCTGAGCATCTTCTCTGGCCCGAGGAGCAGAGAGGTGCCCAAGGCAGAGCAGAGGCAGGAAAGCAAAGCTGTGCCCCCCAGAAGCGCAGGGACTGCCCAGCCCATGCCTGAGGTGCTCTCACAGACCACACCAAGAGCACAGGGCTGGAACAACCCTGCCGGGCAGGAGCAAAGAGCAATGGCAGCGTTTATTCACACTTCCACTGCTGCTAATCCTTCGCTTCTCTGCGCTCCCAAATGGATTTGCTTTGCTGAAATGAAATACTAATCAGGCAAAGCGGTGCAGCATCCCCGTGCCAGTTTAGCCATGGGAAGCAGCTCCAGGACTGTCCCAAAGCTCTCCTGCCTGTGCTGCCATGCCCCTGTGCTGAGCCCCCTGCTGCCTCCACTGCCTTTGATTGCCTCTTCACCTCCTGCTCTTCAAAGGCACCACTTCCATTTCAAGTTTAGAGCTCCTCTTAAGGCTGCTTCTTTCCTGGCATGAAAATACCCCACAGGAAGAGATGCCAGGGCTTCCCAAAAGCTGGGCCCTCCCTCCTGCTTAAGACTTTGACGGAGATGTAAAGGATCAATACTTTGAGCATGTTCCTTTTATATTAGTCCTGGCTTTTTTTGCGTGCTAAGGCTGGAGAAAGCCAAGGAATCTCAGCCAGCCCTCCATCTCACTGCCTTCCAGCAGATCTTGTGGTGTCTGGAGCATCCTCCCACGGGCCAGCCGTGCCATGTCTCTAGCTGACAGCCATGACCCAGCTCAGAGCTTGTCCCCAGCTGACACTGCCCTGCTCCCTCTCCTACCATGACCTTTCTTTTCTGGCAGTCACTGCAAGGCTTGGAAAAAATGTATAAAAAAAAAAAAAAAAAAAAAAGGCTCCTTCAGTAGCCAAAAAGGAGGTGCAGTTCATCCTCTAAGGATGTGCTGTTGATACAGAGGGTGTTTGCATAATCAATCCAGAGAATCAGCTCTTCCTCCCCACACTTGACAAGAGATGGACAATCCACACCTCCATGCAGGCATGGACACACAGCAGGAACAGCTCTGTCCAGGACCAGCTGCACAGACACCACTAGCTAAAACTGAGGCAGAATTGTGGCCAAACAAACCCCAAGGAGCATCTCTGGTCCCAACTCCCTGTGCAGGTAAACCCTCTGCTGCTGCCCAGAGAATCTGTGCTTGTCCCATCCCTGAAGAGTTCAGGGCCAGAATGGATGGAGCTCTGAACAAGCTGGGCTGGTGAAAGGTGTCCCTGCCCATGGAACTAGATGACCTTTAAGGTCCCTTTCAACTCATGCCATTTTATGATTCCATGGATTCTCTTCAGCATCACAAATTCATGCAAAATCCAGGGTCATATTAGGACAGAAGACACAACTATGCATGCACATACATATTTTTAACCTCTGTATATAATTAAGTACCTTTTTTACCATAGGAAAAAGCAGTCTTAACTTTCTCCAAGCAGTCTTAACTTTCTCCCTGAACAGTCTTAACTTTCTCCAAAGGAGAATCAACAAATAAATTAGGGAGACTAAGATCTGCCACAAAGAAATGAATACAGATAATTCAGCTGCCACCAAAGTAATGTAGACCCACAGAAAGATTTAACCTCATCAGAAATGATGAGGTGTGTTTGGCTCACTTGAGCAACATGACTCCTGACCACATTCTGGCTATGACAACAGTGGCAAGGGATTTGAAAGGAGATGTCAGCTACCGTGTCATCTGTGATAGCCTCAAAGGAATAACTAAAAAGGTCATTCCTTGTCTTATTTGATGTCATGTAAATTTTATTTCAAAGTCCACCTCCAAAGAGGCTCCTGGAATACTGACTGATCAGAAATGGGGTTACCTGCAGTGAGAGGGCTAACGTGGAGGCCTGTGGTGCCTCCTGATGTAATCAATACTTGAAGCATATGGATGTGGCAGTTTAATTTCTCTACTTCAACGAGCAACAGATGCTCAGTGAACCCCCCATGGCCTCCCTGTGTGCAAGATGCTCAGCACCATCCTCAGGCTGAACTGCTGCCCCTCCATGCAGCAGGGATACGTCATATTCTTTCATTTTCTGTATGGAAACCTGCAAACATTTCCAGTGCCCACTCCAAAAGCTCAGAAGCAGCCACTCTGATGTGTACACAACAAAAGCCACAGACCTATCCATATGGACATATCATGGGAAAAACCCATTCAAGAGAAAATCCTTGCAACAAGGATGAAGAAATGAATTTTACTGAGTTTCAAACAATTTATCCCTTTACCTTTCTTCTGAATTTACTCATCAAGTCAAAATTTCACATCTTTGACCTTCCCTTAATGAACAACCACATCTAGTATTCAAGGCATTTTTATATATTTAGACAACACTTTTTTCCCCAAAGTCTCTTTTTCCTTCCCACCCGCACTTCGTTCAACTCCCAATTAAGGTGACTGCACAGGGAGTAAGTGATTTTCTCCTCATTTATCTAAATGCATCAGGCAGTAATGAAACCTGCTCTGCCACGGCAACAGGGAGTGGGAAGCACCCACCAGTGCTACAGAAACACCCTCTCAGATGAAGGATTTTCCAGTACAGCCTAGAGAAAGGATTTCTGCCCACACTCTCCCACAAAATGCTGGATCCTCAGCTGACTTTAATTAGAGTCACCTCCATTTCCATCACTGCAGGACATGATGTGAGGTTTTCTCTCTAATTTGCTACAAATTATGCTCTGCCCTGCCATTTTGCTGCTATTCTGGGCTGGTATCTCCCTTTTCCCATTTCAGTTTAAGAGCTGTGGTGACGCCCAGCACTCAATGCACTCATTGCTTTGTATCTGGGATTGCACTAAGATGAAGCTCAGGTGCTCGGAGCTCCCAATTTCTTTTAAGTGCCCTTGCTGGCTCGCTCTCTGTTTTAGGAGGTAGAGGGGAGTGGGACAAAACATTGGAAAGAAGCTCACAAACTGCTTTAGCAACTGTGCTCCCCTTCATAAGTTTTTAGCAACTCTATAGGACTATCACACATTTCTCACAGAATTCACAGAATCACCAGGTTGGAAGAGACCTTTAAGACCATCAAGTCCAACCCATGCCCTAACACCTCAACTAAACCATGGCACCCAGTGCCACATCCAGTCTTTTTTTTGAACACATCCAAGGCTGCTGACTCTATGACTTCCCCAGGTAGACCATTCCAGAACTTTATCACTCTTTCTGTCAAAAACATTTTTGTAATATATTAGGAAATATGTTTTATATATAAAAATATATTTATCTATATATATATATATTTTCTATTTTTATATATATTTTATATACTTACATATATAAAATATATATGATATATTCTATATATATATTTATATTTTTATATATTTTATATAGGATGTATATTTTATATATTTATAAAAATATATTTATATATATAATTATATATTCAGAAAATATTTTTATATATTAGAATTATATTTTATATATAAAAAGATATTTATATATATACATTATATTTTTCAGAATATATTTTCATCTATAAAAATTAAAATTATTCTATATATAAAAATATATTTTCCTAATGTATTTCCAACCTATATTTCCCTTGGCACAGCTGGATACTGTGTCCTCTGGATCTGTCAGTGCTGCCTGGTGAAAGAGCCCAACCCCACCTGACTACAACCACCTTTCAGGGAGCTGTAGAGAGTAAAAAGGTCACCCCTGAGACTCCTTTTCTCCAGGCTGAACAACTCCCAGCTTTTTTTAAGCTTAAAAAATAAATAACCCACAGCTTTCAAGTGGAACGAAGCCTCTCTTACAGATACGGGCTACATAAATAGAAGCCAGGGACAGAAACTCGAGGCTGCTGATTTCTGGGGTGAATTTGCCGGGACAGAGGAGCTGCTGCTGATCTCGCCTCACCTCGCAGCTGCTGGAAGCAGGAGGTGGTGGTGCTGTCCCCGTCGAGCGGGTGCCGCAGGACGCCGTTGCTGGGCTTGTGGCGCTGGCAGTCCCTGTCGGGCAGCATGGCCTGCTCGCTGTCCCCGGCGCGCTCCGGCCGCGGCCCCAGCGCCTGCGGGAAGCCGAACATGGGCAGCGACGAGAAGAAGAGTAAGGCACCGCAGAGCAGGAAGCCTCCCCACCACGCTCCGATCCACCGAGGGTCGTCCGGGGTGATGTCCAGCTTGCCTGTGAGGGGGGAAAACACCAGTCAGGGGCCTGGTTCCTGTCTGGGCACAGAGGGCCACAGGTAACCTTCCCAGGCATGGTGCTGGGAAAGGCTGCGAGAAACTCAGGGAAAAGAATGAGAAAAAATTCTATCTCCACTTGGTACACCTGATACTGTGAACACGTGGATTGGAGGTTTGTTTACCAAAGCGTGTTTTAGTTAAAAGACCAGTCAAGATCACAGAAAAGAATGAGAAACAAATCTTACATTCACTTGGTACACCTGATATTGTGAACATGTGGAGTGGAGATTTGTTTACCAAAGGGTGGTTTCCTAAACAATGGTGAGGGTGTTTTAATTAAAAGACCAATCAAGATCACAGGAAAGAACGAGAAAAAAGTCTTACCGCCACTTGCTGCACCTGATATTGTGAACATTTGGAATGTGTCATGGAGATTTGTTTACCAAAAGGTGTTTTAATGAAAACACCAATCAAGATCACAGAAAAGAATGAGAAAAAAATCTTAAATCCACTTGCTACAGCTGGTATTGTGAACATGCGGAATGAAGATTTGTTTCCCAACGGGTGGTTTCCTAATCAGCCAATGGTGATGGTGTTTTAATTAAAGGCCAGTAAAGACCAGAGAAAAGAATGAGAAACAGTTCTTACCTCCACTTGCTACACCTGATATTGTGAACATGTGGAATGGAGGTTTGTTTACCAAAGAGTGTTTTAGTTAAAAGACCAATCAAGATCACAGAAAAGAATGAGAAAAAATTCTTACCACCACTTGCTACACCTGGTATTGTGGCCATGTGGAATGGAGATTTGTTTACCAAAGGGTGGTTTCCTAATCAGCCAATGGTGATGATGTTTTAATTAAAAAAACCAATCAAGATCAGAGAGAAGAATGACAAACAATTCTTATTCTTATTCTCCTCTTGCTACACCTGATATTGTGAACACATAACATGTAGAATGTATTATGTGTCACTGTTAGGCTAGAGGTGACATACACACATGATCAGGGTCTAAGAAGAAAAAAGTTTTTTATTTTGTGTGTTCTCTAGCTTATATATTCTTAACAGAGTGTGATCTTAAGTCATTAACTACATCACAGTAACTTATTATATTCATTGGTGCAAAGCAATTAACGTCAATATAATTGGCAAAAGTTTTACAGAAATTTAATAAGGCATCTATACACATCTACTTATGCACATAGTCTAGCTCACAAAAATTTTCACATATCTTTTCTAATCTGTTTCTATGCTGACAGCTTTGTCTTCTTTTTTGCTATGGATACACTCGAAAATCATCAATTGTTACTACTTCTATTAACTCAGCTTTGCTTGCAGGCCAGCTGTCAAGTTTTTCTATAGTTATAGAGATTTGTTTACCAAAGGGTGGTTTCCGAATCAGCCAATGGTGATGGTGTTTTAATTAAAAAACCAGTCAAGATCAGAGAAAAGAATGAAAAACAGTTCTTACCTCCAATTGCTACACCTGATGTTGTGAACATGTGTTATGGAGATTTGTTTACCAAAGGGTGGTTTCCGAATCAGCCAGTGGTGATGGTGTTTTAATTAAAAGACCAATCAAGTACACCTATATTGTAATTGTCTATAAAAGGGCAATGGGTTTCTTAATAAAGATTATTGTCGATCAATAATTATTCTGTAATACATGGAGTCTGTGTCATGCTCACCTGACACGTACTGGCACAGGTGAGAAGGACACCACAGCATCAAATGGGCTCAGGAAAGTACAGAAATAATCAGAAAAGGAAGAAAGGCAAAATAAAAGGCTAGAGTGTCCTGTATGCCATCACTCAGCAGAGGGAAAGACAAAGAAGGGTCTGGAGTCAGTGTGAGGAAATACAAATAAACAGCAGGAGAGGAAAAACTGTTTTCCTAACAGCCGCCTTGCTGCCACAGCCACAAGGGTGCCCAGTGCTGATTCCTGGGGGAGACCCAGGCCCACATGGCTGGAATAACAAGCTGCTGTGTTCATGGTGACTGTCTGGTTACTGCCACTCTGAAAAATCTGTCTCAAGTGAGGCAATCAAGTTGTCTCTCAAGCAGAGACAGAAGGAAACTCTTTTCTCCTTAGGGAAAATAACACGTAGCTCTCAAATACAGATAAAGTTTGAAAAATAGTGTGGTGGAGGGACTGGATTCTTCTGCTGTCATTTCCTCCTGCCTGACGTGCATTTTTTTACTGGTTCTTGGGAAGACAACAGCGTGAAGAGTCAGGCAAATCAGAGTTTTCTTCATATTTCCTTCTGTGGCCAAAGCCAGTTGGAGCTGGAGTTTGGAGCACTGCACCCTCCTTGGGAAGTGTCTGACCCACAGCCCTTCCAGGCTTCTCAGCAGTAATGTTCCACAGCTCTTCTCTGTGGCTCAGTATTTCTCTGGGGCTTTTTGAGCTGCAGATACTGAGCAATTTCTTATGTTAAAAATGGCCAGAAGATACCAAATTAATTTTTTAGCTAGGTCAGCATCTTGCTTCTGATGGCAACCAACTGCAGCTGCCCAGAAAGCCTACAAGAATAAAGTCAGCATGTATTATTCTTGTGGCTTGGGGGCTTTCTAAGCTAGATTCGGTGTCATGTTCATTTTTTTCAGATATATACACTTGTCCAATTGCTTTAAAATCCATTTGGAGATTTTTAGCACCTTATGGTGTGGAGTTCCACAGCTTCACCTACTGGGAGATAAAATATTTTCTTCTGTACATTCGTATTTTAGTGTAAATGATACTAAATGGTAAAATATCAAACAGGTTTCAAACAGCTCCTCTGCCAAACGAGGCTTTGGTAAAGCCAAGGAATAAAAAAGGGCCATGTGGTGTTTGACCAAAATGCAGCCAAATGCCTCAGCCATCCCAAAAGATACTTCTTTCTCATTTGATATTATTTACATTTCTTCAGCTGCCATGTGCATTTGAGATCAAAAAAAGGCAGTAACAATTTTGCAGATTTGCACAATTCTGTTCTGAGTCCTGCAAGGTTCAACTCCATCCAAATGCGTTATGTGACAACACATTTACAACATCATAGGGCTGAAATACATCCTTCTCAAAGGGAAAAAATGCCTGCATAAGGGTCTGTGGGATTCGATGGAGCTGAGAACTGTGGAAAAAGCACCTGAGCAATTGAGGGAAAAGAATGAAGCACCAGGTTTGCTGTGGGTAGCAGAGGGCAGGGGAGCAGCAGAGAACAGCCTGTTTCATGTTGCCCTCTCATGGCGAAGAACACACAGTGCAGGCAGCAAAAAAAGCAGAATTTGGTCTAAATGAACAAAAGGACAATTTGCAAAAGGACGATTTGCAACCAATCTGCTTTAACCCGAGTGAAGTCAAGGTGAGTAATAATTATTTAATGCCTTGGAGAAAAGCAATAACGCTGTGGGACTGATGCTGCCCATCCATCCCCTCCAGGGCCATGGGCAGAGGATGAGGGGCATGGATCTAACAGGTGTGCCTCCATCAGAGCCTGGCTGGTTCCCCACACCTTGAGGTGGCAGTGAAATCTGATTTCACTGCGCTCTGGACACAGCTCCCCTGGCATGACAATGCCACAGTGCCATTTTAAAGTGTCCTTTAAGAGCTGGAATGAAACTCATCTCATATAAAAAAACCAAAGAAAGGAACAAATTTTAACCATTAAAAAATCTGTTACTTATCAGAACAGAGCTGAAAGCTTTTGAATCCCAGTCCTAAAACCCTTCTAAAAGTGACACTCATACATGCAAGAGGCACTGAAGATGGAAGCACAGTTTCCTGCTTGTGAGCATCAACATTTTTGTCCTGATGATAAAAATTTAGTGTATTTGGTTTGAAAGCAAAACCAGTTCTCCTTACTTGTGTCAATGAAGACAGCATCCACATAGATTTTGGTACAGAAGGAGCCCAAGATAAATCCACAGGCTGGCCCAAATACCAGCATGGTAAACAGGATCCCTACAAGGAGAGAGAAAAGAGAAGATTAGCACCAGGCTCTGGTTATTCATTGTTCATTGCAAGTTGTTCTGCTTGTCTGCTGTAAGATGGTATTACCTTGGTGATGCCAAATAGATAGGGACAGTCTGTGCTGAATGCTCCAAGCAAAAGAGCACCCTAAATGTGTGTTTTGCTTTTCCATATCTCTTCAGGAAAATGAACAGATGGAGGTGTGATAATGCTGAAGGATTTCTGTTGAGCTGAGGAGACAGTGTGGACATATGCTGTGTTTTGGTTGGCTGGCTGCTCTGAAAGATGTCTTACTCAACAGCACCAGGTAAAGCAGCCCTGCCTTCTCCTCATGGGCAACTCTGTCTTTGCCACCTCCAGCTAAAATCCTGGTAGACAGGATTTTCACACATTAGGGACAGCAAATCTATGAAATGAATGTTGTCACAGAGTGCTGGATAAAGTCCCTTTGCAGAAGTAGGAGCACTTTTCCACATCTGTGAAGCCCCTCTCCCCATCAGACACACATGACAAATATTCATGGTGTGTGGATCTTCCAGCCCCTCACTAACTGCTTGTTCCTTCTGCAAAACCTGCATGAAATTGCCAGTGTAACGCCAGGAGAAGAGCTATTATGAGTAAATTACTTATTTGTTTCAATACAGTATTTAGAAGCATTTATTTTCACTCCCATTTTGGCCCTGAAACAAGAATGCTACAGGCACAGCGCCAGCTCTCAATTATCCAGGGCAGAAAGGCAGGGGGACACAAGGATAATCCAGAAAAAGAAGCAGCAAAGACAACACAAAACATTTGTAAATTAGACAATAAGAACATATTAGGTACTTTCAGGTTTGGGATAACAACAACATTTGGGAAAAACCAACAAAAAGCCCCCCAAGGACCCTTGTAAATGGTTTTCTGAAGGGAGCAGGGACAGACTGAGCAGTGTGGAGCAGAGCAAGAGCTGTTTGTTCCCTCTGGGGGAAGGCATTGCTGATGGACCCCTGTGCCAGGTGATGGGGGCACCTCAGCAGGGATGTGCCAGCACCAGTCCTGGTGTCATGGCACTGCAGAGATGGCCCACAAAGGAATTTATTTGCATCTGGGTGCTTTGCTCACTCTCCTGATCTCTCTGGGGGTGTTGCCTGGCATCTCAGTGCATTTATAATGCACTCCATCACAGCTGTCTCAGCCCTCAAGTTCCTTATCTGGAAACTTTTTAATTCCCAAGCTCCCTCTCTATGCATTTCTCAGGAGCTGGAGAAATTATCAGAGCTGCAAAAAAATTCCCAGAGACCCTCCCATCCCCAGGCAAGGCAAACCACACCTGCCAACAGCAACTTAGCCAAGCAGAATAAACTGGTATGGTCAGAATCAACTTCACCTTCATTTTTAAAATGCAGGGTGCAAACTAATTCCTCCAGGCTGCTAGCACTGGGACCTGGCTGGATTAATAACCAGGGACAAAGCAGAGGTGCCCCCAGGCAGATGCTCACACACAAACCCAGGGCATTAAAGCCTTCAAGGCTGTCACCTGGAGCAGCACAAGGGACAAAGGAGGGTGGCAGAAAGAGAAGAAGTGCCATGTTGTGTGAGCTGCAGTGAGGGGTTGCCACAGACACGTTTTATGAAAAATCCTTTCCTTAGGATTTTTCCTCCTCAGAAGCTGAGAGGCCTCAGGAACAAAATGTAAACAATGATTATCTGCTGCTGTGGAATGCAACAGGTGGATCTGGGATTGGTCTCACGTGGCTGTTTCTAATTAATGGCCAATCACAGTCCAGCTGTCTGGACTGTCTCAGTCAGTCACAAGCCTTTGTTATTCTTTCTTTTTCTATTCTTAGCTACCCTTCTGATGAAATCCTTTCTTCTATTCTTTTAGTATAGTTTTAATATAATATATACCATAAAATAATAAATCAAGCCTTCTGAAACATGGAGTCAACATTCTCATCTCTTCCCTCACCCTGGGACCCCTGAGAACACCATCACAAGGGGTCACTGCTGTCAGGGCAGCACCAGGAGCTGCCAGCCCCTGCCCAGACTCTGCCAAGCTCAAAGCTGCAGCAATGCCACTGTGTCTCAGCCCGTGTTGCCAGCTTAAATTAATCCCCAGGGTCTCTGCCTGTGCTGTCCCATGTCACAGGAGGATCAGCCATGTCCCCTCCTGCAGTCACCTTGTCCTGGGTGCTGGTTTGTGCTCCACGATCCGGCAGTGCACTCAGCAAGTCTGTGCCTTGCTCCTGTAAAGCCTCCCAGGGGACAACCCTGCACACCTGCAGAAGCACTCCATGGGATGTGAAATGAGGGAACAGACAGGCTGGGAGAGCAGAAAAAAAGGGATTTCACCCCCAGCACACCTCAGCCCCATTTCCCCTCCCTCCCAGCCCCACTTGCGGCTTCCACCAGGATTTTATAAAATATCCGTGTCACATTTTTTGTGGTCACTAGATGGCATCAGTGTTTGTCATTCAGCCCACATGTGCCATGTGGGTGACAGTGCTGCTCAGCCTTGCTCCCAAAACACGATGGTGTTCAGGACCTGGGATACCATGGAGGGTGGCACTGACACAGGGCACTGTCAGCACCCTCACATCTGCCACAGACACACTCAGGCTGTGCCCCTTCCCTGTCTGTGTGCTGAAAATCACAGCTTTCAGGACAAACTTTTCTCTAAGAGTTAAGTTTTCAGGCACAGAGTTGAAGGAGACAACGTGTAGCAGAGACTGCCACGGCTGTGATGAATGAGACAGCATGCAAATACCTTTGAAAACTGAACATTAATTTCAAATTTCTATGTAAATATGGCCAAGCACATAAGGACATGCTGGGCCCCATACCAGCTGCAGCAATGACAAATGGAGCTGCTCAGGCAGAGGGACAAGGACCAGCCAGTTCTACCCTCTGGGCAACACCTCTGGATCATCAGTGCTGGGCTGAGGAGGGATGGAAGTTTGTCCTGTGATGATCTCCAAGGACCAGCCAGTTCTACCTTCTAGACAACATCTCTGGATGCATCAGTGCTGGAAGTTTGTCCTGTGATGATCTCCAAACCACAGAGCTGTCTGACCATGTGTGTGCAGGGAAAACCACAGAACTGGTGTTTGCTTCATGGAGCAAAGCCCAAAACAAAGAACATGGGAAATGATCCTTCACCAAAAGCAAAAAGGAAATATTTTCCCCCTTTTCCAAAGGCAGGGACCTGTGGCAGGTGATCCAGCAGCAGCAGGGGGATGCTTGCAGAGAGAATTATCTCAGAAAAAGGCAAACATTGAGAAAGCTGTGGCCAGTGCAGGCACAGGTGAACACTGCCCCTCCTCACACTACTGCATCTCAAATATGTCAGAAACCAGCCCTGTCCTCAGTTATTAAAACACCTCATTTCATATCCTGGTGGCTGCAGCAAGGTTTGCTCTGCCATCTCCTCACTAGAGGGCAATGTGGGATAGAGCATTCAATGAAACACCTATCTAACATCCCACCAAAGCTATTAAATTATTATTCACCTCTAGGCTAGCTTTAAAAAACCATGTTAATTGTGTTTTCTCTTTTTCTGTAGTTTGTTCTAAAATCAAGAAGAAAACAACTGCTTCACCCCATGGCCTTTCTTATCTTTTTCTGAGACTCCAACAAAATCCTAAGGTTGCAATAATAGCATTTCACACTTTAATTCACAAATCAAGCAGATTGTGAAAAAACCCAAGGCATGGACTGTCACAATGAATAGTCCAGGGTCTGCACAGAGCAGGACCATGCTCAAGGATCAATGGAGCATGCTGCTGGGCAAAAAAACAGGCTAATTGGATAGAACCTATGGTTGAACATCTATGCAGAACTGAGGACACAAGGAGAAATTAGGCAAGTCTGAATTAGCTTAAGACATCCTTCCTCTTTTGAGAAATCCTGCACAAGTGCCACCACCCCTGCTATCAGGAGAACACTTTCCACATCACCCACCTCGCCATGCAACCACAAAGCTGCTGCTTAGCAGAGAAGGTGGCCTTGCCAAAGCCATTTTCCCAGTGCTGGGGCTGCTGCTAAGAATTAAAATGTGCTAAGTTTGTGGCTAGCTTTAATACAATGTGCTTGGTCTTTTCCCATGCTTCCCTCTAACTTTTAGTCTGATTTGATGGAGCCAGAGGACACTGATCCCAGGAGCAAACAGATCAAAGGTTCTATCCTGGCTCCACCAAGCTCTTGGTGAACTTCCACTGATGCCAATAAAACCAGTGATCAGTACAGGTACTCAAATTTGATGGCATTTTTTCTTAATCTCTGATTTTTTTTTTTTTTAATTCTTACTAAATTATGGCAGTTCTTAGAAATACTTCAGAGAAGTGAATTTTTTTAAAAAGCAACTCTGTCTTGGGACAATTCAAACAATTTGTTAGGTAACTCCCAAACACTTCTTTGCAGTTTGTGTCCATTTAGAGCACAATTAGATCTTAGCTTGAAAATAGCTAATAATTTTCAGTTTACCTGCTCTACTTCCTTCATCAGTCTTCCTGACTCCCAAAAAGGCAGGAAAGAAAAAAGGCAGCAAAACAGGCTGCACTGAGAAATCAGAAATGTTTTCCTCCTCATCTTTTCAAATGGAGCAATTTGCCAAATCCTACTTTGTCCTGTCAGGTAACATTTTCCCAGAGCTGAGGAAAGGATGGGGACAGAGGCCAGTATTAGATCTGACATTTTGTGATGAGGCTTCATCACCAGTAAGGCCCAAGCCTGACAATGCAGTTTTCCATTAGAGCCAAGGGAAGGAGCAGCAGCAGGTCCCACATCTGTGGAGGGGCACAGAGATGCTCTGAGTCACACAAAGTGCACAGGAACCAAACTGCAGACAGGGATAAAGGCTGTCAGTATCTCAGTAATAAAGAGCTTTTCCTTGGTGCTTCTAGCTGCTTTCCAGAAGCAACAGGATCCTGAAACCTGAGCAAACCTGTGCTGCTCACAGGGTGAAACAGGTGAAGCATGGACTCAGTCCCTGTGATGAATTAACTGGGGACAGG